ACATGAACATCTTGAGCTCAGGCAATGCATTAAATGAAACTTCATAGGGGAAACGAAACAACTACACCAAAGCTGAAGGACCCCGCTTGAGACCGGGCTGCTCGATTTGGGCCTATGTTAAGTCCCATTCGAAACCCAACAGTTGTGTTACCCCATGACATCCCAAGTCACTTTGCACAATTTTAATCAGATTAAAAGCATAACTTGAGATTAAATATGCTAAAAATGCAACATTTAAAACTTTCCTTAGTCAAAAATCACAATAGCATAATAAATAAGTTTTGAGAATCACAACACCTAAATAACCATATTATGAACTTAAAAATCAATGTTACTATTCATACTAAGAATAAGATCCTAGATTATGAAACTACTTGTTAATCTTACAATGGTCCCAATAAGCATGCTATTAATCTCGACAAAGGGTCAATTTCTGAAATTCACTCAAAGATTAACATTAGATCTACACCTATAATCATGCTTAACAATACAAATGCATGAGTTTACATTCAACAAACCTTTGAAAAACAGTCCCAAATAATTACAATTACTAAGTATAGCAAATTGTTAAACACTTATGAATGAGCTAAAAACAACCTAAATGCTTAAACCATCCACCTATACTAAGTTAGCGTTGACAATACTTAAACAAAGCTGAAACAATATCATGAACAATAGAAGAGAAGGATTTAGCCAAATGAACAAGAGAGTCCCATTCCAAATCAGCAAATTACAAGCCCATTTTATCACTTCAAGCTCATGAATATACCTGGAACAATAAAAAACAACCACAGAACTTCACTCACTTCAAGCTCATGAAAAGACTTCGTTTATTACAAAATTTGGGACTTATTATTATAATGTGATGCCCTTTGGGCTAAAAATTACGGGGCCCACATACCAACGCCTAGTTAACAAAATGTTTGAAGAACAAATAGGTAAAACAATGAAAGTTTACATTGATGATATGGGTTAAATCCCTGCGCACAAAGGACCATTTGACTCATTTGCAGGAAACATTCAAAATCTTGAGAAAATACAACATGAAGCTCAACTCGGAGAAATGTGCCTTCAGAGTAGGCTTAGGTAAGTTCCTCGGTTTAATGGTGTCGAATAGGGGCATTAAAATTAACCCCGATAAGATCAAGGCCATCGAGGACATCACGGTCATGGATAATGTGAAGGTCGTGCAAAGGTTAACATGCCGAATAGCTTCTCTGGGTCGATTAATTTCAAGGTCATCAGATTGGAGTCACCGGTTCTTTTCCTTGCTCAAAAAGAAAAAGGATTTCGCATGGACCCCGAAATATCAGCAAACCTTAGAAGAATTAAAGCGATATCTGTCGAGCCTACCTTTGCTTCACACCCCGAAGATATATGAAAAACTTTATCTATACTTGGCAGTGTTCGAGATAGCGGTAAGTGGGGTACTAGTTCGAAAAGAGCAAGGTACGCAGTTTCCTGTTTATTACGTAAGTCGAACTCTAGGAGATGCTGAAACTAGGTACCCTCACTTAGAAAAATTAGCACTTGCATTGATAAGCACATCTCTAAAGTTAAAATTATATTTTCAATGCCATCCCATATGTGTACTAACTACCTACCCCCTTCGAAATGTTTTGCATAAGCTCGAGCTATCGGGCCGATTGCCCCAAATGGGCCGTCGAACTTAGCGGGTATGATATCAGATATCAACCCCGAACGACCATCAAGTCTCAAATCCTAGCTGACTTCATGGCCGATTTTAAGCCGACCCTCGTACACGAAGTGGAGAAATAACTCCTGCTAAGTACAGGTACAACATCGGGTGTTTGGACCCTTTTCACGGAAGGCGCCTCGAATGTGAAGGGGTCCGGGCTCGGCATTGTTTTAAATCCACCCACGGGTGATACCATTAGGCAATCTATCAAAACTCCTAGATTAACTAACAATGAGGCCGAGTATGAGGCCATGATTGAAGGTCTCAAGCTAGCCAAAAGCTCGGGAGCAGAAGTCATCGAGGCCAAGTGTGATTCTGTGTTGGTGGTAAATCCGATAAACAAAAGTTTTAAGGTTCGAGAGGATAGAATGCAGCGGTACTTGGATAAGCTACAGGTAACTTTGCACCGCTTCAAGGAGTGGACTCTGGATCATGTACCTCGAGAACAAAATAGCAAGGCTGATGCACTCGCTAATCTAGGATCTTCAATCGAAGAAGATGACATAGTCCCGGGGATTGTCGTCCAACTATCAAAGTCTGTGGTCGAAGAGGGTCATGCCGAGATAAATTCAACAAGTTTAACGTGGGATTAAAGAAATAAGTATATCGACTATTGGAAGAATGGGAAACTCCCATCGGACCACAAAGAATTGAGGGCCCTACGAGCCAAGGCTGCTACGTTTGCATTAGACAAAGATGGAACATTGTACCGAAGAACATTCTATGGAGCATTGGCGGTATACTTAGATCCAGGGGACACCGATTATGTTCTACGAGAAATCCACGAAGGAATTTGTGGGAACCATTCCGGTGCTGAATCTTTGGTCCGCAAAATTATCAGAGCAGGATACTACTGGAACATTATGAAAAAAGATACTAAGGAATTTGTCAAAAAATGTGATAAGTGTCAACGATTTGCACCGATGATCCATTAGCCCGGAGAACAACTCCATTCAGTCTTATCCCCGTGGCCTTTCAAGAGATGGGAATGGATATAGTCAGCCCTCTACCAATGGCCCCAGGTAAAGCTAAATTCATTTTGTTTATGACTGATTATTTTTCTAAGTGGGTGGAAGCACAAGCCTTCGAGAAGGTCCGAGAAAAATAAGTTATTGACTTTATCTGGGACTACATCATATGTCGATTCAGGATACCTACCGAGATTGTATGTTATAATGGAAAGAAATTCATCGGTGGCAAGGTAATAGAGTTCCTCGAAGCACATAAAATAAAGAGAATTTTATCGACACCATACCACCCAACTAGAAACGGACAGGCTGAGTCAACAAATAAAACTATCATTCTAAACTTGAAGAAAAGACTGGACGACGCAAAAGGGAAATGGAGAGAAGTTTTACCCGAGGTCCTTTGGGCATATCAAACGACATCGAAGTCTAGCTCGGGGGCCACCCCATTTTCTCTAGTATATGGCTCAGGCCCTCATCCCCATCGAGGTTGGAGAACCCAGAGCTAGGTTTATACATGCATCAGAGGAGTCAAATCATGAGGCCATGAATGCCAGCTTTGGGTTATTAGATGAAAAGCGAGAAGCATCGCTTGTTCGGATATCCTGGCAAAAGCAAAGGAACGAAAGATACTACAATAGAAGAGCCAACCTTCGACATTTTGGAATCGGGGACTTAGTTCTACGAAAGATCACCCTCAACACTCGAGACCCGAATGAAGGGAAACTAGGCTCGAATTGGGAAGGATGTACCAAGTCCTTGGAGTCGTCGGTAAAGGATCTTACAACCTTAGCACGATGGAAGGTGAAAAACTGCCAAACAATTTGAATATATCATTGCTCAAACGATACTACTGCTGAGGTATGACTTTATCTTTTTACGCATTTGAGTTTAAAACTAACTTGTTACAAACTTTCGGTCAAAGCTATCGAAGGCACGCGATCTCGAAGACACCCCTTTTATACGAAGGCCTTAGGTTTTAAAGCATGTATTGCACTCTTTTTCCCTTAAATCGGATTTTGTTCCAAATGGGTTTTACTGGCAAGGTTTTTAACGAGGCAACAACTATGTGCTACCTCAGGAGAACTCAACAATATCCGAGGCTTATTTTTAATCAACCTCGAATACTGGGGGGGCATCACACTCGGAGGTTATATTTTCAAGAAAAATACTTCACGCCTAGGAGGGCCTCGATAGGAAAATTTTGTAATGGACCAAACGGTCAGATGAACCGTATCCGTATAGAATAGTCGAGCCCCGACGACAAAACATGTATCAATTATTTGAAGAAGTATTCTGTTAATGTCAAAAACACTTTATGTCTCAAAGAAGTCTACTATTATACGAGCCTTACACTTATAATCCTACGGGAAACTGCTCAAGAGCCAGAGCATAAAAGCACCCCTGAATACTCGGGGACTGTCATCGACAGTCAGTACACCCGAGTTATCAAAAACTCGAACTCACAAGACCTCAAAGAGGCACCCCTTCGAAACAAAGGCTAAGGCCAATATACGCAGGGACTAACTTTTTCGAACAAGTTCGGAAAGTTATCTGGAAACAAGTCCAAGTGACAAACCCGAAGGCTACGGCCATACTAAAAGCTACGGCCAAAATAATGCGGTTCGGAGACGTCAGACTTCTGCTATAAATTAAAGGCCTTCAAACATTGAAAAATCGGTTAAATCAGGCTACCCTCGACAAAAGCAAAATATAAAAGGCATCGATAAATTCAGCCCCCAAAAAATTCTAAGGGCTTCAATAAATTCAGCCCTCGAATAATCCAAAGGCTTTGATAACATCAGCCTTCAGGAAAATCTCAAGAGGTATTCGATTATGTTTACACAAACAAATTACTAATAAGCTTCCGATACGTCGGACCTTCGAAAAACCCAACGGGTATAAAAACACATGCTAAGGCATAACTAAACTTTCACTAAGTCTTTTAGCTGAAAAGAAGGAAAAAATTACAACCATTTTAGAGGCCGAAACGGCCCAACTTAAAGAGTCTAGGGGATAATTTTAAAAGAGCCTAAAGTTCGATATATAAGAGCCTTAGGGCCAGCTTAAAAGAGCTTAAGGACCAAAAGCATATAAGAGTCCGAGACCTTGTTCTCACTCAACTCGGACCCAAGAGTCCCATTGTTCTGAGCTTGCATCGAATTGATTTAAGCTTAGCTCGAGGATTATCTAAAACCTTAAGGGGTATTATATTGAGCAATAAAAACCTAAGGGTTTATTACATTATAAGTCCAAACCGATAGTCGAGTTGAGTATTTGAATTATCGAAATCTTTCACAAACGGGAACAAAATAAAATTCAACACAAGTCGAGGATAGAACAAAAAGATAATTTATATTCACAAGGGAAGTTTACAAAACATATTTACAATGCCCACAAGGGGAACTTTCACAAAAAAGAAAACCTAATCTATTTTCGGGGTCACACCCCCGGGAACGTCATCTTCGGAAACTGCATCTTCAACAGCTCTATCTTTGGGAGTTTCATCTCCCTCGGGAACATCTTCTTCACCTTCCTCGTCCCCGGAGCCACTCGCTACATCCTCATCATCGGAGGAGCCAAGAAACCTGATATCGATTTCCCACGCCTTTGCCTCGGCTATCTCCTCGGCAAGGTTGAACCCTCGGGCATGGATTTCTTCAAGAATCTCCCTTCGCGCTTGGAACTTAGCCAAATCATTGCTCCATTTTCCACAGTCGGAGGCCTCCCTCAACTCATCTTGAACGGCCACGACGTCCCTTAAGTATATGGCAATGGATTTATCAACCGCAGCCTTCGTCTTCTCAGCTTCAGCCTTAGCCTGTACAACTTCGACCCGGGCTCTAGCGACCTCAGCCTCTAACTCCTCGATCTTATTGGCCTGAGCCAGACCCTTCTCTTTAATGTCTCGGAGTTGAGTTCAACCGAGGCCAGTTGGGCTGTAACAGTTTCCTTATCGGCAGCAAGTTGATCCATGTTCTTCTTCCACTGATGACAATCAACTTTAACTTGATCAACCTCGCCCCGGAGCTGCCCAATCATCTCTAGCTTTTGCTGCAGCAGATATATCGAAGTGTTAGCCTCTAAAGTAGGGCCAAGAAGGCCGTACTCTGTTAAAATCACAGTTACTTGCTCATCTAGCTTGTACTCGCTTTTTTGAACTTTGGCCAATGCGGTCCGGAGATCCTTAATCTCCTCTTCCTTTTGGGCTACAGAGGAGCCTCAGGGCCTTTTCTTCGCCCGAAACTTTCCTGAGCTCGGCCTCACATTGGCTCAGCTCAGCTCTAAACTTTATGATGGCCTATATGTGAAATGGAGATATATCAGTCAAAAGAAAAGAAAGAAAGAGAAAATTACAATAATGAATGTCACACCCCCTTTTTTACAACTCACTTACCCTCTTAAATATATAAAAAGATTTTAAAGCTCAAAAAGGGTTTTTAATTAAAAGTGACAAAGAATATTGTGTTTCAAAAGATTTTTTAGAGTCGCCACCTGGCATTTGATTTCGGTGTGCCAGGCCACCGTCTTTTTAGAAATAATTTTCCTTTTAAAACACTTTGGACTCAAAACTAAGTCGGCACCAGAGATTTTAGGTAAGGGGATTCATTTGTCTCGGGGAGAAGGTGTTAGGCACTCCCTAAGTCCTGTAACTAGTACGGATGCATACTTGATCTAGTCGGCTCTTAAAATATTCAAGTTGAGGTAAAATCATAGAAAAGGAAAATAAACACAAAATTCTTCTAGGCTTTCCCCGGATAAATTTAACTAAGGGAACGACCTCCCACCTCAAAACTAACAAAAATTCTAAGGCTTGCCTACCCTAGCGTGGTGGGCCTAAGCATACTATTAGCGATTAAATAAGAAGAGTAAAAGTAAAAATAAACTATAGCAAACAAAATTCACTTCATGCTCACCCTCCTTTTAACTTTTCATTTTCTATGTATTGAGACCGAACCCATTCCTAATGCACGTGGTTTGATTAAATTCCAGTGGGGTCGATCTTTTCCCAATTCCCATGACCCTATATCATTCACAATAATTCATTCGAATCGTCCACATAAAGAATCACATAAACTGTGCACACAAACAAAGACTTTAGACATTCCACCAACGAGAGTTTAAAACATTCAAAGGATATAAATAAGCAACTAACTAAAACTATATAACAATAAACTGAAACGTAAATGAAAAAACAACGTGAATTTGGGAAAAACCAATTGTCAGATTTCTTACCAACCCCATTTGATAGTCTCAGATCCTTTAAACCTCACTTTTCAAGCCTAAATTATACTCTGTCATCTAAGTTAATCACTTGTTCCTATACTATCCTAAAAGGCGCCAGACAAGCACACTGAGACAATGTAATAACATTAGTAACCAAATTAATGGGAGGAAAGAATGCCAATAGAACAAGAGGAAGCACATAATCCTCATGGCACAAGAATTCCTATTCTGCTAAGCTAATATCCTGTAGCACTTTATTTGCATTCAATCAAGGACTAGATTCCTATATTTATGAACTAAAAGGGAAAAGAAAATTCAACTCCAATGGTAATCCAAAACTAGCTTCACATCACCTCTAATAAGCTAGGAGATCCGAAAATGGCAAATTAACTTTGAGGCAAATATGATGAAAACTTTCAGGGCGCTTTTATGTCAAAATTCAAGGAACAAATGCAAACCAATGAATCAAGGTGATATTATAATCACACATACTCGATCCTGCCGAAAATAGGATCACTCTATACTACTCAAATATCACTATTATCTTCAGACCAAGGACAATTTAAGCAAGACTGAAAGAGCAAGGAAGATGGCAGCGCCAACATCTTAAACCAAATGAATACGATTGAGATCAAGCAGAAAATATCACAACAAAGTTTCCGAGATGCAACACACGCTTAATCTCAACATGACGAGCAAGGCAAATTCAAAAGAACTAAAGTAGAACACATTCAACATCTCGAAAACAGACAGATTCTAAACACTTAAGTTTGTTTTAATCCTAAAGTCTCATCATAGTCTCAGTCATACTTTAGATAAAAGAAGAGATAGGATATGAACCTGAGTGCAAATTTCTTCTTAATAATAGAGAATCAAAGCAATCAGCTACAAAGCTTCAAATTCAAAAGGCCACTCGAGAATACAACGGCTAGATCGAACAGGAACCACGAGTTTCGAACAACGGACGGCAACCCAAATCGGCTTCAAACCTCAACTAACATCCATTTCATTCTTGAACCAAAATGTGTAAAAGAAGAACCCAGAATCTTTTGTATTTTTTCACTTATCAAATGAAAACAGAACTCATTTTTTTTAATATATGTGAATCAGCTATATCGAAAATCAGAAGAAGATTAAAGGAGAACCTAAAACCCTAGTTTTTTTTTGTATTTTTGCTTTTGTGGAACTTAAACTTAATTGAAGATGGACCAAATGAGAAGAAGAACTCACTCTTAGAACCCTAATTTTTTTTTCAACCCTTCGGCTGGCTGAAAATCCTCCAAATGGGAGTATTTTTATGAACTCTCGAAGGTTCTATTCTTCTCCTGCAAGAAATCTCCCAAAATAACTTCAAAAAACTGAAAACTCCCGAAAATTTCATAAAGCAAAAAAAAAAAAAAAATGGAAGGCGTGGATCGGCTTTCACTCACATCCAATCGCTCCCATTTATCCGAGATTTGTTCAAGAAAATCAAAGCGCGTGAGGGAGAAGGCGGATTCGATTTGGGTGAAATCATTAGAGAATATTCTGAGTTTGTTATATTGGTACGTGGAGGAAGGAGAAGATGAGAGGGGAGGACCATGGGACTCGGGTGAGCGGACTCGCCCATTCCGGCGAGTTGGAGAGACGACAGTGGGCTGGGAAGGTGAGGGCGCCGTTTGGGAGAGAGATTAGGTTTAGGGTTTGGATGATATTAGGTTTTTATATGGGGATAAGGTTTAATTAGGGCCATTGGATAATTTGAGTGAAGGGCTAGGATATACAAGGAAAATGGGCGGGTCAACAGGTGGGTCGGCAGGTCTGGGTTGATTTAAGGGAGTGGGTTGTTGAATTTTGGGCTCATATTTGAATTGGGCTCCGAAATTTACAAAATTGGGCCAAAAGAAAGCTGAAAATTCAAATTAAATACCTACAAAATTATAAAAGCTTTTAATTGATTTTGATAAACTATTAATATTAAAAATAAAAACTAAAAATTAAAATTAAAACTATTTTTGGTATTTCCAAGGCTTATATTAGAATAAAAATAGGTTAAAAGTATTATATCTTTCTAAAAATACCTAATACTGAATTAAATAGAAAAGTGAAACTATATATTTTTTTGTATTTTTTAATTTTTGTGCCTAAAAATAGAATTTAATTTAATAATAAAGCGAAATCCTATAGAAATAAACTCAAATAAATATCCTAAAAATACAAGGACTATTAAAGGTAAATTCTAATGTGTGAGTCAAAAATTATATGTCTACAATGAAAGTAAGTATTTACTTGGGAGAGGAGATGTTGAGACTCTTCGAAGATGGTGGATGCATCATTAAGGTCATTGGCATTCTCAATCACAGCTTAGCTACCCTGAAATAGATCTTCCTCGAGGACCTTGCTCGGATCGGGCATACGTAGAGCGTTGGCTTCTTCGATTGCCCCCTCGAAATAAGTTGTCAAAGAAAGGGAGTGGCATGTTGTCGTGGCCCCGAGCTCTTCACTCAGGGCATTCTCATTAGCTTCGGGGGTCTCAGCATTTTCCCCCTCTGGTATATTTATTGAAGACGGAGGGACAATCTCAACCTTCGGGGACACTGGGGCCTGGCCCGCAACTTTCTTCGGGGTTCCCTCACCATGGGATGAGGTCTCCAGTTCGGAAGGCTTCGCGGCCTCGATTGGTTTCCTTGTTCGAGGCACCAACGCTGACTCTTCACTATCATTTTCTTCATCATCCGGGGAATCATGGGCCGAATCTGCCCCCGTTTGAGCAAATCTTTTCCACGACCTTCGAGCAGGAGTTTTCTTGTCTTAAGGGTCTTCAGGCTTCGAAACCCTTTTTCTTTTGTTTTCCTTCTCATACTTCGGGATTGAAGGCTTGGTATTTTCCCCGGGCGGAGCCGACCTCATCTCGGATGCATCACCAAGGCCTGCACAAGAAAACGTGAGTAAGTTGATGCCACCAATATACAAAGAGTGTTTGAAACTTGGGAAAAGAACTCACCATGGTTCTTGGCCTCCCATTAGCCCTTCGATAATTCACGCCACTTGCGCTCATCGTAGGAAGAGGTGGTAGCTAACTTTCGGACCCAATCCTCGAGGCCGGGCTCCGCTTTGGGCACCCAGGCATTGGCTGCCAAAAGAAGGATAAAGGCGTTATGAAATGTGAAAGCAAAATATGAATAGATACTGAGAATATGAACTCCACTTACGATTAAAGTTCCACCTCTCCGGGAATGGCATTTTCTCCCCGGGAATGACATTCGAAGTTCTTACTCTAACAAACCGGCTGATCCAACCCCGATCTTTGGTTTCATCAGTACTGGCTAAGAAGACTTTCGTTGTTCGGCGCTGCAGCTTGATAAGCCCTCGAAATAATTGGGGCTGATACAATCGAATCAGGTGGCTAAGTGTGAATTCCAACCCCCCGCCCTTTTCGGAAAAATACTGCAGCATGATCACGATACGCCAAAAAGAGGGGTGAATCTGACCGAGGGTGACTTTGTATGTTTTGCAGAAGTCGATAACCACCGGACCTAGGGGACCCAGTATGAAGGGGTAAGCATAAACACTTAAAAACCCCTGCACGTGGCTAGTAATGCTTTCCTCGGGGCTCGGGATCTGAATCACGACCTCATCTCCCCAGTCACAGTCCTTCTTCACATCTTTGATGAGTTTCTTCGATATCAAGCTAATATATCGAGATACGTTCTCGCATCGGCCTAGGACATCGGGGGGATTCTCAATACTAAAGTCATTCTTAGTTATGCAAGGACCGGGGGTGATTTCCTCAAGAGTTGGCAGCACCACTAGTTTGGCCGGCCGGGAGGTAGAAGAAGATGATACATTATCCTTTTTAGGGACCGTTTTGGAAGTTTTAGCCATGATTGTAAGCTAAAGAATACGGGTTGCACAGGGATGTGGTGTTTCTTACAATAGTTTGGCGTTTTCCAACACTTAAAGAGGCGGTGAAAACGGACAATTAGAGAAAGAGATGAAGAAGGGAAAGATGTAAAGAAAAAGTAAAGTTTTTTACTCAGAGGAATCGCGTCATATTTATAGATGGGCAACGACGGTTCAGCGGCACTAGTGGCCGACCAATACTGGCTTGCATTTAGTGTTTTGGGGAAATGGACCGACGGGATATTTCGGTCACTTCGAATGCCTGCATCACGGAAATGATGTCATCATCAAAGGTTCGATAAAATCGGGGTTCAAATCGTTTCTTATCATCTTACTCTAAGAAACGCGGGGATTATCTGTATACGGTCGAGATCGAATGCCTTCGATCTATATACTTGAGAGGTCATCTGAAGTCCGAGTCTAGGTAAGACCAAGTTCGAGCTCGAGAAACCAGACCCGAGTTCGAAGGCGGAACATGACTTGACCTCGAAATAGTACCATTATGGATTTGTACCAGAACAAGTTAGATTCCTGCCACGTCCCAAAAGTCATGGCGCAAATCCCGGAATATGATTGTACGATTCCGTACTAGGCGGTTAGACAGCTGTACCAAGAATATTCCTTACTGTAAATAGAAATATTCCTTATTTAGGGCTCCCCTATTATATAAAGCTTTGTAAGATATCTTATGTTTGAGAAAAGAATATACTCTCTACTTTTTGCCTACTGTTCATCAGAATTGTCCTTTAACTTTGTTGTTCTTACTTTGATTCTCCTACTTCATTGTTTTTACTGCCCTAAGCCACCTCGAGGTCACTGCTACTAAGTAACATTGGTTTGATTTACTCTTATCTTTCATTTCTACATATTTCTTGATTATTAATTAGTATTGAACTAAATCACATATCTTTAAAACCGCTAATCAAATTTAATTATTATTAGTATTTTCGAGATAAACATATTTAAGGAAATAAAGAATGTGTCACGTAGGGGCGGAGCTAGCCCTTCGCTTACGAGTTCGGTCGAACCCAGTAGCTGTTGTCCAAATTCTGTATTTGTATTGTGAAATTCATGGAATATGTACATATTATTGTTATAGAACTCACTAACTTAAGATATTTGGTACCCCGAACCCACAAAGTTTAAATTCTGACTCCGCCCCCGCATGTGATAATCAGCTACTAAGTTGTTTGAAAGAGATTTTTCAAAGGGGTGCAAAACTCAAGTTATTTGTTTCCCTAAAAATCTTTTCACGTTACCTTAGAAATCAGTTTACTCGAGCCAGCCACCTAAATCATTTTTGCTCTAAAGATTATACAGAAAAAAGTATCTATCACAGTCAACTTTATATCGGGTTTTAGGTTTACGCACTCCAAGTTTTATCAAGTCAAATTAGCAAAAGCTTTGAGTTTTTCAGATATATGCAAGTACTAAATTTTAATTAGTTTTTTTTTTTTTTTTTTTTTTTTTTTTTTTTTTTTAAAATAAGGGAGAGCATGTTTGGTATCTCAACTAGGGGAATAAAAAGTAGTCCAAAATTACGCAAACATTAACTGTTTGGGTGAGTGATGTAATTAAGAGCTATTACAGTGAGTTGATTCTCAATTGATCCAGTACGGTGATCAAGGATTTGTAAACAGCCTGATTCTCAATCCCGCTATTAAAGGTTTAAGCTGAACGGACTCCATAATTTACTGAAGTTTATAGCCAAAAATAGGATAAAGAATTAAGTAAATTTATATGAAATTTTTTCATCAATTGTAATAGTAATATATTCTTTGAAAAGTCCGGTAATGACTTGAAATTCAATTGATAAAGAAATATTTTTCAGCAATTATAATACTACATTAAAAGCACGAAGGTCTTTAGTAAAATGTCGTTCGCCTTTTTTACCCTTTAAAAACATATTTCACATTGGATACAATTGTAATTTAAGTTACTTTCGTAATATTTAGTAATTTGAAATCAACTAAATTTTGGGTATTTGAAAATTCTTCCTCGTTTGAAAAAGTAATTAACACCAAAAAAGGAAAATCCAAAGTTAGAATATACGCCTAGAGTTCTTTTAGGTTTAGAAATCTTTATTCTTTGACATAAAATTATATAATATTATAAGAGTGACACAACAATTGGAAAATCAAAGTAGGAAACAAATTTTATTGAAGCAGTAAATAGAGATTGAAGATAGAGTATTAGTTTAAGCATTGAGTCTTTTTGCCTCTCTTTGGGTTGTACGGACCCAACTGATCATGCCACGAGTAGGGGGCCACTAGAGGTACCGTAACATCATATCTTTTCTTCTTCACTTTCAACTCTCTGAAGTAAAGGGAAAGTGTGTTCGGAAAGGGGTAGTTTGTTTTTGTCTCATTACCGACAGTAAAAATCACTCTCGACATTATATTACCTACATTCAGAGGGAAACCCGCCATGATAGATGCTACCAAGACAGCCCGAGGAAGGGGAACAGAGTGATCGTGTGTAGACGAGTCAAGTCGACTACACACGAAGGTCAACCACCCTTTTGCTTCAAAGTTGAGGGTANGGCATTCATCACATCTTTTCACAAAGTCACCGGCATCCTTGAACAACGAAGGCCAATAGAAACCACAACTTAACACTTTAGACGCCGTCCTTGCCCCGCCATGATGGCCACCATAGGGCGAAGAGTGATAAGCTTCCACAATACTCAATTGCTCTTCTTCGGAAACACACCGGTGAATTACACCATCGGTGCAAATTTTGAAAAGATCCGGCTCATCCCAATAGTAGTCTAAGCAATCCCTCTTGAGCTTCTTCCTTTGGTTAG